AAATAAATAATATCTTTAAAAAAAAAGGTATTTCCTGTTGGCCAACCTAATCCAAGACCATTATGACTTAATTATATTAATACATGTGAATTTACTTTCATATTGCAATACCATTTAGGAGTCTCAAAGAACAAATTACTTTTAGTCACATATCTGTTCAAATTATGATACTGATTGTTTTTCTTCTTCACTTTTATTAACCTTAAAGTGAATACAGGTTCTGAAAACATCAAATTTTAGGCTAAAATTTCACTAAGTCCTCTCTGTTCTCTACTATAATTAAGACTGATCTCCAGTACCCCAATAACATAGGGACTAACAAAATCATTTCTATAATCTCTTCTTAAAAAGTCAACCAGTGAAATAGATGATATTATTACTGAATGATTAAATAAATGAATACCTCTTTAGCAAATTCATTGTTTAAAAGCAAAGATCAAGACTGAAAAAAAAGAAGAGAAGGTCACTAAATATACTCACTATAAACATACCTAAAATTAGACATGCTGGCTTCATAACATACATTTATCAAAGACATCTATGGATCCATACATTACATTCATATGCAAAATAACCACTTCATTCAACTTTACTTGAGATTTATGTTAAAAATCAACTAATTTTTGCTTTAGGATCTAAATTTTTACTTTATGCCACAGAGCTAACTTTTCTATCTTGGGGGTAATTGAACTTAAGATCAGTATATTCTTCCTTTCCCTTTCCATTAATGTTTTAAACCTTTTACTCCCTGTAATGGTTACCTTTGGTGAGCGGCTTTTTTTAATTGTCTCTTGATTTCTTTGGAGTCTTTCAATCAAGGGGATGGCAAAAGAGAATGTCTTTCCTGTTCCTGTCCGTGCTTGAGCAATTAAATCTTTTCCTTCATATACAGGACCAAAGGTCTTAACTTGAATAGGAAAGAGATATGATACCCCTCGACCTGTAAAATGAGATTTCATTGAAATATATTTAAGATTAGCTTTAGGAAAAAATATTTTTATTTGAAAATGACAACCCAGATTCCTCAACGTCAGCCTAAAAATACAATACCTAGTGATATTTACAGTTATTCCTACCGCAAAGAGGAATTAAAAAAAAAAAAAATTGTTCTGACACTTCTGACAAATACATACAATTATTTAAAGTTAAACACCGGTTAGAATATCAAAAAGGATGATGTAGAAATAACTGCAATTAAAGAACAGCTACTTCTCTTATGCTTCCTATATTCTCCTTTTGGTCAGAAGAGGCAAAGATTTTTTTATAAAATCCTAGTTGTAGATTTTCAGTTGTATATCCATTAAAATTCATAGTACCTTTTAGAAGCTTTATTGTCTCTTCAGAAATAGGGAAATTGGAGAAGGCTCCTTCTTTCTGTTCACGTGTTAGGGTCTGTTAAAATGAAATCAAAGTTCTAACTAATATAGTTCATATTCAACTAGATATTTAGAATCTTACTCATTTACCATTTTTTGTTTTAGTAAATCAACTTTAGTTAGTACCTGCAAAAATTCTGTAGATTAACTTACATGATACATTAGTGGAAGACCCTTTTAATTTCAAAAGTATCCCTTTAAATAGCAAGTTTACTCAATACATTTTCCCACAGTACATTTTATTTTTCTCATTTTTCTTTTTTTTTGGGGGGGGGATGGGGTAGAGGAAGAGAGAGAGAGAGAGAATCTTAAGCAGGCTCCATACCCAGCATGAAGCCCAACATCAGGCTCCATGAGATCACAACCTGAGCCGAAATCAAGAGTCGGACACTTAACCGACTGAGCCACCCCGGCGCCCCTCCCACAGTACATTTTAAAATTATTAACTCACAAATAAAACTCCCTTTGAAAATACATCTACTACATAAATCAAAATATATTTCCATTTGATTGAGACATTACAGAAGAGCTATTTGATCATCTAAGTCATATTCACAGATACAGACAATATTAATTACAAGGTCTAACAGAAGCCTATAAACCAACCTAAAAAAAATTACACAATGAGGAAAGTAAATTGTTTCTAAAAATAAATGTTAAAAAAAAGTTGTTCTATGGCTCTAAATAGCATGTTTTAGGTCACCAAAACAAAGAAAAGTTCCTATAAGCTTGAAAATTTCTTTAACACATACACAGGTTAGCATGACATAATCATTTAACATCTACTGAAAACTCTGTATACTAGTCAATGTGTATATAGAACGAAGACAATATATCTGTTAACCTTATTATTGCTATGTTTAAAGAAAGTAGTTCCAGAACCATACACAATAGCAGTTTCAAACAGAGAACCAGATAAAAGACATAATATCAAACTGAAATTATAAGCCATTTAAGTAAACCTCAAGGCTATTATCTTAAGATTAAAAAGAAAAAAAAATTTATTACAAAAGTAATACATTTTCATTGTAGAAGCCACATATAAACAGAAATAAAACTATAATCCAGTCAGCTAAAGCCACATTTGAAACAAACACTCCTCCAAACCTCAGTCTATGCACATATAAATTTTATTTATTTATTTTTAAGTAATCTCCACATCCAACATGGGGCTCAAACTCATGATGCTGTGATTAAGTCACATGCTCTACCAATTGAGCCAGTCAGGCACCCCTAAATGTTTTTAAATAAAAACAATACTGTATATACTGTATTGTAATGTGTGTTTTTTTTCATTTAATAGGATACACTGAATACCTTTTAATAATTATTTATTTATTTTTTTTTTTGAACTCATGACCCTGAGATCAAGAGTTACACGCTCTACTGAGCCAGCCAGGCACCCCCTGAATACCTTTTTAACACTCTTCTACAACCTTTAGGATAGATGTCATCTATTGCATAGATCTAGCATATTTTCTAAAATCAACTGCCTACTATCAGACATTTAGGATGCATAAATTTTTTGCTAGTATCAACAACACTCTGATAAGAGTTTCATACATCCCTGCACACCTCATGATTATCTCTTTAGGAAGATAAATGCCTAGAAGTAGAATTCCTGAACCCAAGTGTGATCTAAAAAAATAATAAACAATTAAGCCTATTATAATACAAAGCATTGTACCGGGTAAAATCCCAACAGAGCAAAATCAATCCCGTACATTCTGCTACCAGCAATACAAATTTGTAGGGCCTTATTTAGATCAACTCTCTAACATATGTGCTTCCTGACAAATACCAAATTCACAAATAAAAAAATGCCGTATTTTAAGGCAAAAATTCAACATGTTTTCCCAAAGCTCTCCAAAGATTACACATTAAATTAGGCTCAGATATATTTAAATTATTGGCAACCATCAGATTTTAAAATATAAAGAACTACTGATTACCAAGAATTATCAAGACTTTCAATGTTGTTTCTTTCGGAGGACTTGAGTTACTGACAATTTATGATACCTAGACAAATCTATGAACTCTGCTAGAGGAAAACTGCAAGAACAAATTGAATAAATTCTGTGCAAGAAAATATCTACTCTAACAGGTATGGGCAAAAGCAATGGGTCCAGCAAAGCAAATTCTACACTAAGCATGTTTTCTACACCTCCCAAAAAATTAATATCCAGAACAGATTTCTTCAGATCATTTTTAGGTTTCATTTTTGTTTAAAAAATGCAAACAGCTTTAAGATTGAGTTACAATAAGATCTAAAGATCACTTAGAGTTGCTATTGTTACAGAAGCAGAAAAAGCAGAAGGCAAAATACACAAAGTCAAGAGGCTTTATGTACCTTGTTTCAGGAAGTCAGACGTCAATTCATGAGTACTGGTAGGGACTGAAATAACCATAAGAAATCAAGTAGGTGACCATCAATAAGCAATTTGGAAAAACTATTTAGGAACCCAAATGTACAGGAAAGGTTTACATTTACATCCCCCCCCACCCCCACCCAAAGAAAAAGGCAATATAATGACAGAAACAAGGGACAAAGAATAAAAGGCTCATCAGGTTTCAGCTGTATAGACTCCACTGTCCAACTGAGGGTACTGGACACTAAGCAGGAAACATTATGGAATCAATTCTAATTAGTCTAAAAAATCAAATTAGCCTGTATTTCAAGGATAATGGCAAATGCATAACAAAAAGTATTCATACCTCCTCTAGTTTATTATCACTTGATTTATGAGCAGAACTATCTAAGGATGACATTCGCTTTGATTTTTTTTCATATTCACCAATATCTCCATTTGACAGATCTTTTCTTCTTGACTTATGAGATTTAGAAAATTCATCTGAAAGTCTATTATTACATCCTTCTTCAGTGTCTCCATTTAGCTTCTCTTTCATTTTAGCTTTTTTGGGCTTGGGAGCATCCAAGTTATCTGTAACACCATTTTCTCTTGTTTCTGATTTCTCATCTGAGTCATAATGGTGCCTTGACTTCCTTCTATCACTCTGTGGAAAAACAAAGAAGCAACAAGAGGGTCACAAGCTTTCCTCTTAAGACTCTAGAGAACTTAGAGCGTTGACTCCCCAACCAGCAAAGCTCAATCGACCATCACCTTGAAAAGTTACCTGGTAAAAATCCAGACTGGTTGCTAATGCCAAGCCTAAGCCTCACCTCTTGCTTTCTTTCTCATCCCATTTCTTGCATTCTCAAGACTTGGCCTCTAGCCCCTCTCTGATCCCATTACATGATTTAAGGGAAATCAAAATAGCTCCTTTCAGAAAAAGATGAGAACCCGAGATTTATAAATTAAAAAGCAAACAAACAAAAACTTCTATCTCCAAGAGAAAAAAAAGTTAATAATTATTGAGTACCTACCCAGCATTGTGTAATGTGTTTTCGGCTTATCTTGTTTAAATCTTCATAACAACCCTATAAGGGAAGTACAGGTCCATAATCCCTTATCCGAAATTCCGATATCCATAAAGCTCTGAAAACCGAAAGTTTTTTGGTAACTTATTTGGAGACAAAACCTCACCTAACCTGAACTCATTTGGTGGGAAAATTTGACTCGAACTGATGTGAGGCTATTTATAACCTTTATTTATTCCACTTAGTATGCATATTCACATTTGATATTAACGTGTTTGATTATAAATTGGGGGCCCCAAACCCTACTGGGGTGTTACCCTTCTAAAAATCCCCAGAATTCTGAATCAGCCCCAAGGATTTTGGATAAGGGATAGCGAACCTGTATTACCTTTGTACCTTTGCCATTTTACTGATGAGGAAACAGAAGTTCTTAGAGGTAAGTAACTTGCCAAAGACTCACATGCAGGATTTCCTTCAAGTGGAAGTGCTAGTAATCAAGCTCTGTCTAATTTGAAAGCCCATGCTCTTTTCACATCATGTTTCCTCTTTGAACTTTGATAATTAACAGGTTAAAGAATATACAAACCAAACAAAACTGTCATTCACGTAAAGCTCCAATTGTTATACTCCCATGGAAAGGCAAGTATATGTAATCCTTGAAACTTTTTTAAAGTTTTTTAATTATTAGAACTTAAAAAAAAAAAAAAAGACAACTCTGCAACTTTAGTTTTAAAATGCCAAAGTGGGGGTGCCTGGGTGGCTCAGTCGTTAAGCGTCTGCCTTCAGCTCAGGTCATGATCTCAGGGTCCTGGGATCGAGCCCCGCATCAGGCTCCCTGCTCGGCAGGAAGCCTGCTTCTCCCTCTCCCACTCCCCCTGCTGGTGTTCCCTCTCTCTCTCTGTCAAATAAATGGATAAAATCTTTAAAAATTAAAAAAAAAAAAATGCCAAACTGGTGACCAACGAGTGTTTTAATATGTGCAAACAACAAGAAATTATTTGGCAATTTAAAACTTCGAAATTACTTGGTCAAATATTCAAAATAAATTACAAAGTAGTTATTAGTGATAGCAAAAACTACCACCACCAAAATTTTCACCAGGATTTACATAAATTTTACAGAGTACTTTCACATACAATTTTCTCATCCATAAAATGGAGGAGATGCTGTGAAAACAGAATAACATATGTGAAAATAATTGTAAACAGTAGAGCTTTACATTAACATAAGTTATACAGTTACATGTTACAACATTTGATCTTTCATTAACTGAACCAGCCCACATCTCCCCAAACCAACAAGTTCTATAGAAAAACAAGGTTATTTACAGAGCCAGCCTTGGGGTTAGAATCACCTTTGGGCCCCATACTTCAGGAACATGAAGCAAGGTAAAGTGAGACCCCAAGTCCAAACTCAGTGATGAAATACATCATTCCACATCAGATCCGTAGTGAGTGCTTGACACTGTTCACTTCCTCAGCTTCCACGACACTCTATATCCCTTCCTTATCCTCTTACACCTACCCTCTCCAATGGTTCCTCTCCCTCCTCCTTCTGTGGATGCTCCTTAAGTCTCTGTTCTTTGTGTATACTTTCATACCATTTTCATGGCTTCAACAAACACTTCCATGCTTCTTTCCTCACCTGCACTCCAGTTTTGAGAACCTAAGGCCTAGCTCCATAGCTTTACATACCCAAACCAAACTTATCTTCAACTCAGTGCCAGATCACTACCCGAATGCTGTTTCTATTAGTTGGTACTCCAATCTGCTTCCCAATCTTTAGTTATCTTTCATAGTTAGAGGAAAATCAAAAAGTATTTCTGGAGAATCTACAACGTGAAAGCCACCAATTTACAAGAATGTATTGATATGTAAGGATGGACAAGTATATGGCCATTTCCCTCAAGAATCTTAGGAAACATTTTGGGGAGGATACAAAAGGGAAAAGTGAGCTAACTTTACAAAGACAGCACTGGAACAAGACTTCAAAGGGGAATGAGATTACTGGACGTGTATAGTAGAATGTTTAGAATAAACACATAGGGCTCCTGGGTGGCTCAGTTGGTTAGGCGACTGCCTTCGGCTCAGGTCATGATCCCGGGGTCCTGGGATAGAGTCCTACATTGGGCTCCCTCTGCTCTGCGGGGAGCCTGCTTCTCCCTCTGCCTCTGCCTGCCACTCACCCTGCTTGTGCGCTCGCGCTCTCTCTCTCCCTGTCAAATAAATAAAATCTTAAAAAAAAAAAAGAACAGACATATAAACTAAACCTTGACAGAGAGATAGGATTTGTTTTTTGTTGTTGTTTTTAAGATTTTATTTATTTGAGAGAGAGAGAACACGTGCACAAGCAGGGGGAGCAGCAAAGGGAGAGGGAGAAGCAGGCTCCCCGCTGAGCAGGGAGCCCAAAGCAGGGCCTAATCCCAGGACTCTGGGATCATGACCTGATCCCAAGGCAGACACTCAACCAACTGAGCCACCCAGGCGCCCCAATAGATAGGATTTGAATGCAAAAGGAGATACAGGCATTTCAGGAGGAGCCAAAATTACAACTGCTTGGTGATTCCACTTACGTAAGGTATCTACAGAGGTGAAATTCATAGTGACAGAAAGTAGAATGGTGATTTCCAGGGACTGAGGAGAGGGGGCAATGGGAAGTTGGTATTTAAGGGGAACAGAGTTTCAGTTGCGGAGATGAATGGCGGTGATAGCTACAGAACAATGTGAATGTACTTAATGCTACAAAACTTACACTTTAAGATAGTTAAAATGGTAAATTTTGTTATGTATATTTCACCACACAGACAAAAAATAACTGGTTGGCTGGAATGGCAAAGTTTACCTTGGTGATAAGGTAGGAAAGGTAAGTTCTGCTCTCTGGAGCTATACAGAATATTTCCATTTTTTTGTCAAAAGTCAGCCTTCAAATACAGCTTCCTCACCCACCTAAGCTCTGCTGTCTTTTCTCTGGGTCTCCTTCTTTTGAGGGTGGGGATGGGAATTCTCGGCAACCCCTCTACAGGGTCCTTGAGGGAAGGGACTTATTTGAACTCCTTGGTGCCAGCAGAGTGTGGCACAAAGTAAGCTCATTAGATACTTGTGGACTGAATGAAAATACTAACAGTAAAGCCTACTAGTGAAACAACCCACACGATCTCCATCACAGCCAACTCCTAGCAATGCTGGCTGTGACACATTTCCTTAAGCCTCTAAACACTAGCTATCGAGGTTTGTAAACCTAAGATCTATTTCCCCAAGATTCTCCCTCACAGGTCAGGGTGACGGAGAAGTAACACATATTCAAGGCAACCATCTTTCTTAATCATCTTCTAAGACAGCCCATAAGAACCGAACAGGCCTCGCTGCTTAAGGAAAAAGAGGAAAGAAAGAACAGATTCCGCGGTGATGGGAACTTGAGTCTGCCCATCTCTTAGGCTCCTACGGGAAGGGCTGAGGGAGCACAGGGCGCCAGGCCAAAGCGTAGTGCAGCCCTTCTGCAGGTTACGGGTATGGAGGTGGGAATGGGCCCGGAGCGACCTCAAAGGGACAAGGGCTGCGCGAGGGGAGGCCCTGGGATGCTCCGGCCAGGTTGTGACAGGCCATCAGATCTGAGACAGATCCCCTCCCCGCCCAAGCCGGCGCAGCCCAAAAAGAGGCGCGGCCCATCCTCAGCGCACCTTTTGCCTCTCCTTCCTTTGGCTCTCGGTCTCCTCCAAGGGTGCCTCCAGCTCCATAATGTCCCCCCAGAGGAGTTTCCCAGGCATCATTCGCTGCCGCTGCCGCCGCCGCCGCCGCCGCCGCCGCCGCCGCCGCCTCCTCCTTCTGGGCTCGGTGGCCACAACCACCTACGGGCGGCAGCAGCGTGAAAGGAAGCGGGGGCAGGGTGGCCGCCCGGCCAGAGCTACGTCATTTCCGGGACACGCACCGCCCGGCGGGGGAAAAATAATCCCGGATACTCTAGGTTTAAACTCTTCCTTCGCGTTGCAACCTCCCAGCCAATGAGTATGAGCGATCTCGACTGGCCCACCCTTGTTCTAAAGTGATTGGCTGTTAAGGCAAAACCCTGGCCAATCTCCATAAAGGACGCGCGAACTTATTAGCATAAAGTGATTTGCGTCCCCCCCCCCGACTTCTCTCTCCCTACCCCACTACGAACACTTATCCTCGGCGCCGCGGAGACACTTTGGGGCTTCCCAGCATGCACTGCTGGAGCTGGGAAGGCCCTCAACCGCGGCCGAGAGGCGCTCGGGCGCGGCGGGCTGGCGCGTGGACCCGCCCGAGCGAGGCCGGTGGAGAGCGCCACGCGCCCCCTCTCCATTCGCCGCCGGAAGCGGCCGGCCTCGGCCCGCCCATTTCGGGGTGAAGCGTTAACGTCTAACGGTTTAGCGCGAGGCCGGCGGGCCGGCGCTGGTGGGAAGGGGCTTCGCGGGGTCTGCCGTGGGTAGGTGGGCTGGAAGTGAAGGTCGGAACTGGACAGTCGTACCTCAAGTCTTAGCTTTTAGTCATGAAATTAGTCCTTGGTTCATTTTAGGTCCTTTCCACTCCCCCCACTGACGGAGGGGAAACTAAGCTCCTCGTAAGGGATTTGCTTGTTTGAAGACACAGTGGCACAGTCAGGACCAAAGAACTCCTCTTCTGAATCCAAATTGAGGGCTCTCTCTACCACACCAACGTGAAAGCTTTGTTTCGAAAAGCGTTTTGGGGCAGATGCTCCCATGAAATTTAGGATGAGTAGGAAAACCCCGGAGAAACATAGCGAGAAAACAAGCCTAAATGTCTTCGACAGATTATGTATTTACAGTGAATTAAAGGATTTTATTTTATTGATGGGGATTAACTGCCCCTAAATTACAACCTTATACAAAACTGGAAATCTTTTGACAATGCAGAAGGTTGATTCCTTAGCCTACAGTTTTCCTACATCACTGGTGCTGGCTGGTTGGCATTCTTTTCAGAGCCATTTCTTTATCTCTTCGTGATCTCTTCAACCCAGCTACTCTTGAGTGGAGAACAAGGAGCCAAACTGAGATGTAGGTGCACTTGACAATTTCTAAGACCCCAGCCTTGTAACCTGAGCATCAAACTTGTGTCTTAGCAAAATTACAAACTGCTATATGTCATGGAGTTTGGGGATTGGTCATAAATAGCTGAAACCACAAATGATCGCTACAAGCCTTCTGCACTACTATGGATTGGTCTGAAATCAAAAGGGCTGTAGATCTAAAAGTTACCTTATGGATTCAAAACTGTGAACAAAAGGAGTGTCAGTTAATGATAGTGGAAAAATGCGTCTCTGTAGAGTATGGGAATCACTGTGCATCTCTAGATCTGTGCTTTTCTAAATCCTTTTCTTCTTTCCTTCACACCCACCCCAATTCTACCACTGTAAAGTCTTTGTAGCCCTACAACAGAGTGTAATGTACATAGGAACAAGGAGTGGATGTGGCAAAGAACGTCACACTTGTAAAATTGGGATAATAGGAACAAATGTTAGTTTGTTGTGGTTGAAGATCAAATACTGATGAAATAAAGTTTTTAGCTCCTCTAAAACATTGGCATTCATTTGGAGGTCAAATAGCAGGTATGTAAATAGAAAGGACTAGACTGTTCAATTCTCCCTATGCAAGACACTAACAAGTTTATTAAGTGTTTTTCAGAATGACTGTGATACAATCCTGCCTTTCTAAGCCCCAAACTCACTGAATCAAAATTCTGTCTGCTGTCTTAAACCAAGTCATAAGTAACTTCAAGCTGTGGCTTAGCCGAAAAAAATTTGAGTACTACCAAATTTGGGTAAGTCTGTGTTCTCTATGGATATCAACTAGAAAATTTGGGAATGGTAATGAAGGAATGGAGAATTTTTTTTTTCCTATTTGCTCTCTCTATAACTCTCAAAGAGATTTGTATCTGCTAATATCTATTGGGAAGAACATGAAGGAGTAAGTATAATTTCAATGCACAAATAATTTAAAATATAATCTTATTAGAATCTTTATTCTCCAAAATATTTTACCAGAGTTACTGATATAATTTATTTCTTAAAATTTAAGAGTCGGGGTGCCTCATCTATTGCTCTGTTCCAAGATTCTATGAAGACTTCTCTTGCCTTTGGCTTCGGGTCCTTAAACTCTATGACCTTAAGATATAAAAATAAGAGGGAACTATACACTTGCCTCTCTCTGGTCATTCTCAAACCTACAGGGCTAGATTTTTCTATAGTTAAAAAGCAAAAGTTTTTGGGGAGGGGGTATGTGCTCTGGTAAGCGCTGTGAATTGTGCAAGACTGTTGAATCTCAGATCTGTACCTCTGAAACAAATAATGCAATATATGTTAAGAAAAAAAAAAGAAGAAGGTAGCAGGAGGGGAAGAATGAAGCAGGGGAAATCGGAGGGGGAGACGAACCATGAGAGACGATAGACTCTGAAAAACAAACTGAGGGTTCTGGAGGGGAGGGGGGTGGGAGGATGGGTTAGCCTGGTGATGGGTATTGAGGAGGGCACATTCTGCATGGAGCACTGGGTGTTATGCACAAACAATGAATCATGGAACACTACATCAAAAACTAATGATGTCATGTATGGGGATTAACATAAGAATAAAAAAAACAAAAGTTTTTTTAAAAAGTCATCATTTTGCATCTGCATGTCAATCTTATGTGACAAAAGGAATCAAGCTATCGTTTTAAAATGTTATGACATGGAAATAGTTTAAGGAGCAATTATAAATTGCTTAAAAGATACTGGAGGATAGAATGAGTGTTTAGAGTAATAAGAAGTAAGGAGAAAGTGAAGGAGGGAACAGGAGGGATGTTTCTGCCATTGTTAGCCACATGACCTTGGCCAACTCACCTCTAAAACCTGGTCTTTTTTGTTAGTAATGTGGAGACAAACATGCCTTCCCTGCTGATAGTGCAGGGAAATTGGGGGGATCAAGTGATATGACAGTACCGCAAAGATGATATACAGAGCAGCTCACATTTCTACCTTTAGCTCAAGGTTTTGACAGGTTTGGGAAGCCTTGGAGAAAACACAACTTTGAACACATTTACCACTTGTATATTTATGTATATGTGTAGCTCCTAATTCAAACTTGGAAAAGCTTTTTTTTAGATTTTATTTTTAAGTAATCTCTCCACCCAAAGTGGGGCTTGAACTCACAACCCCAAGATTCAGAGTCCCACACTCCACCAACTCAGCGGGCCCAGAGTCCCTGGAAAAAAGCTTTTTAACTTCAACCTTTGGAGAGAGGTCCTACTCTTTCTTTAGCCAATTACTTTGTAAATGTTTTGAATCAAGTGCTGGAAAAGTAGTCACATCAGCTACCCAGAAGAGGGCACTATTATCCAAGAAATGGAAACCACTACTGCTAAAGAGGGAACATGTTTCTAAGGTTTCAAAAGGAAGAAGGATTTGTAGAGGCCAGCAAAGTAGTTCTGAGTTTGTTTTTGATACCCCCCTTTCTTGTTTCATGATTCTCAGTGTCTCTCTTTCCCACTCCATTTTGGCAGTAGTCTTTCTTCCCTATTCCCCAAAAGCCTTCTCAGGTAGCAGTAGGAGGGGTTCTCAAAATGTAGTGGTCCCCAGTTTTCAACACTACTACTGTTCTCTCCATTGTTTTTTCCTCACAGATCTGACCTTTGTCTCTGCTAAATTGCATTTAGTAATAAACTCATGATCATTCTCCTTATCTATAAATAAGATACAAATGTAGCTTAGCAATGTCACACCAGCCTGTGATGGTGTTGTATTACTGAGCTGGTATAATTTCAGCCACTGCCAAAGAAACTTAATGTTGTAATTAGCAATGAGTTAAGCAAAGGAATATATACAATTTCTATTAGAATGTTTGAAATACTGAAAATACCTTGCAGAACCCAGCTACTCTCTGAGTATTCGTAGGGGTCTGGGATTCCAGATGAGAGAGGATAATCTCAGAATGTATGAAATGTCTAAAATAAGCCCATGCTTTACATATCTGATTCCTATTATAGCATCAGATTTTAACTGAAAACTTGTTAGCCAAGGCATAATACCTCCCTAGGCAAATCCGGATTTGAATTGATGAAATTTCTTATAATCTTAACCTAAAGGACTGAATCTCTAAATGGAGGAATTCCAGACAACCTAGCAAAAAATGGGACCTGTATAATAGGCCACATATTCACCTATCAGACAAGTTTTGTGAATATATAATATATAAAAATATACACACATATAACGATATCAGGTGCCTCCTGCATTGGGCACTTTGAATAGATTAGCCTCAGATCTTACAACAGTTCTGTAAGTTAGATCTATCATTACCATCTCCCTTTTACAGATGAGAAAACCGAATCAGAGAAGTTTGGAAACTTTCTCCATCACACAGCTCCCAAGGATTGTAATTGGGATTCAAACTTCTCCGATTCCTAAACTCAGGTCATCATGCTGCCTCAAGAAAACAGTTTTCTCCTCAGAGAATAGACCACAGTGAGGATGAGAAATCAAGAACTAATGTTATCGCACACAAATTAATATTGGGGAGAAAATGCAAGCCACTTATTTTAGAGAATAATATCTCAAACAACACATATTCCATCTTCAATATTTGTAGTCAAATGTTGTGTTTTGTAGAAGGAAAGTTTTATTGGTTTCATAATAGGCTTCGTTTAATACATTTAGGGAGTGTTATAGTGCGTCTAGCGGCAAAATTAGATGGATTTCATTGGTCCCTACGTGTGACTAGAGCCATAAAAAACTTTGGATTCCTCACTCTAATAGAAAAATTTGTCCAGGTCCAAAATCAAAGGTAGGACAGAGTTGTTGTTGCTCCTTTTTCCAAGGACTGACAAGGATAGGACAGAAATGGAGAACTGGAAGAACTCAGGAATCTTGTATGAGTTCAGTACTTTGCAGGATCCTCACTTAAA